GGGGAGCGGGGAGCGAGTACCTGGGGGGGCGGGACCCGCTGAGGACAGGGCCTCATGGGGGCCGGCCGAGCCCTGCGGCTGGGTCTTGAGGCCCAGGGCCGTGACAGAGCAGCGCTGCTGTGGGAACGGTTGGCTGGCTTCTGCCAGACCCCTGGCCCCTAGATCCATACCCTGTCCGTCCACCTTCCCTCTGTTTCCTTATTTGAGGGGGAGCGAGTACCTGGGGGGGCGGGACCCGCTGAGGACAGGGCCTCATGGGGGCCGGCCGAGCCCTGCGGCTGGGTCTTGAGGCCCAGGGCCGTGACAGAGCAGCGCTGCTGTGGGAACGGTTGGCTGGCTTCTGCCAGACCCCTGGCCCCTAGATCCATACCCTGTCCGTCCACCTTCCCTCTGTTTCCTTATTTGAGTTTGGGGCAAGGCCTTGCTGAGTTGCCTAGGTTGGGCTGGAACCTGAGATCCTCCTGTCTCAGCCTCCCAGGGTGCTGGGCTGACAGCTGTGCACCACTGCGCTGGGGGCGGGGGGCTCTTCTCCCTCTACCGGGCCGATGGGAGTCGCCCTGCTCCCACCTCCCAGGCACCGTCAGGGCCCCGAGGAGACACAACAGGCCCGGTCCCCCACCCTCAGCAGCCATGGGGCTCAGCCCGGCACGGAGGTCACCGGGAAGGGGCCGGCGTGGCGCCCACCTTTTGCAGAGAAGGGCGGCCAGCACCACCAGGACCAGCGTCCCCAGAGCCCCCAGCACGGACGTCCGCCACAGCCGCGTGGATGTGCTCTCCGCCGGGCCACACTCTGGGGGGAGAGGGCGCGGGCCTCAAAGTGACCGCCGGCCCAGAAGTCAGGGTCCGGGCCGGGAAGCCCTGATTCCATCTGCGTCCTCACAAGAGAGGAGGGGACACAGACACAGGGACAGCCGCGTGGGGCAGGGGCAGGGGCAGAGGCAGAGGTGGGAGGGTTTCCCGGGAGCCCATGGACGGAGCCTTGGCCTCAGTGTCCTGGGCTCCAGGCCCGTGGAGGGGTCGAATGCCCCCGTCCCGAGGTGCGGCCTGTGGTCCCTTTGCCACATTCTCCCAGGACCCTGGACCCCACGAAACGCCCGCTCACCAAAGGTTCGGAGCGGGCCCCACGCCGTCCACCGGTTGGACCGGTAACAGGCTCTTATCCGCACCGTGTACTTCCCGGGGTTGGGGAGGTGGAACTCGTTCGTACTGATGCTCTGCGGTTTGGAGAATAGAGCCGCTGGGGCGGGCAGGTCCCGAGATCCCGCGTGGGCCCTGGTGGGGGTGGGCGCGGTGGGCGGGCGCCGCGTCTTCCTGTGGCCACCCCTGAGTGTCCCTTCTCCACCGCTGGTGGGGACACCAACGCCAGCCGTGTCTGTCTAGGGACGCACGGGCCACGAGCAGAGACGCGGGTCCCCTGTGGGCGCGGGGCTGAGGCGGGTCCTGGCGGCTGGGAAGAGGTTGGTGGCCCGGGTGTGTCCACAGCTCCACCTCGCTTCTCCGGCCTCACCTCTGTCCCCCTTTGCTCCCCCAGCCCCGGCCTGAGCGGCTGAGGGCGTGGGCTGAGAGGCGGCAGGGCCAGGGGACCCCAACTCCGGCTCCTCCCGCCGGGTGACACCTCGGCGTCCCCATGTCTGGTGCCCCGATGCGGGGACAGGAGCGACTCGGGGAGATTGAGGGCCTGAGAGCTGGACCTGCAGGTCAGGGGCCCCCAGACCAGCCAGGGGGACGGGCCCGGGGGACACTCACGTGTATGGGGACCAGAGAGCCTCCTGGGACCTGCAAAACAAAAGCCAGCGAGTTTCTGCGTGCCTGCACCCCGATTCAGGGAGGGTCTGAGAGGGTCCTGCTGCACGCAGAAGTCCAGAGTAAGAGCGGCCGCGATGGTGCACGCCTGTGAGCCCAGCAGTCGGGAGGCTGAGGCAGGAGGATCTCCATGAGTTCCAGGCCAACCTGGGCTACACAGGCAGAACCTATCTCAAATGACCCAAATTACTTTTTTAAATAAAATTTAAAAGCCGGGGATTTAGCTCAGCGGTTCCGCTGCCTGCCTCAGAATCGCAAGGACCCGAGTTTGGTCCCCGGTACCCCCACAAAAAATAATAAAAAGGGAAGGCCCTATGGTGAGCAGGGCGCACACCCTGGGCTTGGTTTATAAACAGATTTAGGATTCTGTGTCTGAAGCATGACAGGACCGACTGCCATCGTGGCCGGGGGAACAGGGCCCCGTGCACAAACCTCTCCGCCCCCTCAACCCCCCAGCTCACCCTCCATCCCGTCCTCTCGGTCTCCAAAGACAGCGCCTCCCCTAGGAGCCCAGCTGCCTGGGAGCTCACTGTGCACCCGGGGTTTGAGGCGGCCTTCCTGCCTCGGCTTCCCTGGAGGGGACCACAGGTGAGGGCCACCACACCCGGCTCCTCCTCTCCCATCCACCCCGGTGTGAGGCGTGGTTCAGCGGTTCAAGACCCACCCCGCACAGTGAGGGCCACACCCGTCCCGTGGCGGACCTGGGCCCGGCAGCGCCTCGCACTCGGGACCCCGTACCTGGCGGGTCTGGAGCTCGTACTTAAAGTTTCTCTGGAAATGGCTCCGCGGCGGGGGCCACGACATGTGCGCGTGGGTGCCGTTGCACTCGGTGCTGATGTTGGGAGGGAGCAGCCTCTCTGCGGGCAGGACGGGAGAGCTGGGAGACGCAGGCTCTGCGGTTGCGGCCCAGGCTGGCCTCAACCTCTGTGACCCTCCTGCCTCAGCCTCCCGAGGGCTGGGCCGTCAGGCCTGCACCACCAGGCCGTTATTCTTCCTTTCTGCGTCTGCGTGCAGCGCTCGAGGCTCACCGTGCCTGTGCGGTGCTGGTGCAGGCGCGGGGCACGGCTGCAGGCTTCCTGCCGTCCCCTCCCTCCCGGCCGCCACCTCTGGGTCTTTTTCCACGCGTCCCCAAC